GGGTAGACTCTTCACCATTTTTTCTTGCTAGATAAAAGTTTCGAACCACCAAAATTAAGATGTTCAAGTCTCAAGTGCCACAACCAAAAATCATCTTTAATAATAGCATTCAAACATCTCATAGCATCATGTTGAATATTCAAAGAAAATATTCTATTCTTAGACATTTTCACATTAGCAATCAAATTACCACGAGTATCTTTAATTGTAAGATAAAGATTCTTCATGCTAATATCGTAACCCTTTTCTAAAAGTTGTCTCAAACTCAAAATATTATTCTTCATATCCAACACATAACAGACATTGGAAATAAAATCATGATTGCTATTCTTGAGTGTAATAAGAATTTTACCTTTGTCTTTCATCGGAATGTTGGAGGAGTCGCCAAAAATAACTTTGTCTTGCACCACTTCATCAAATTTTACAAATATATGCTTCTTTCCACACATGGTTGCTTGCCCAACATTCATTGCTATAATGCCCAAACTTGTGACAGCTGAAACATTCAACATTACAAACAAAAAAATGTTCAATATTTTTTGGGTGACTCCAATTCGTTACATCAAAGAAATCCTACTACCCAAAAATGTTCAATATTTTTTAAATAACAACAAATAAATAATGAATAAAATCAAAGAAATAAAATAATTACAAACAAAATAATTGTAAATAATGCTTTGGTACGGTTATAACTTTTTTGTGAATTAGGTTCCAGCTTTTTGGGTGAGTCGGATTAACTAGATCAAAAAAATTCAAATAATTATAAATAATGCTTCCAACTATTTGAGTCAGTCTTCATTTTTGGAAGTTACAACTCTTGAGGGAAGGTTCCAACTTTTTTGAGGTTCCAACTTGGGGTGGATTCAAACAGTTGGGGGAGGGGTCCAACTTTTTTGAGAAGTGTTCAAATTTTTTTGGGATAGAAGTTCCAACTGTTTTGATAGAGGTTCTAACTTTTTTGGTTAAAGTTTCAAATTTTTTTGATAGAGATTCCAACTTTTATAGGTAGAGGTTCCAACTCTTCGGGCAGGGATTTCAACTTTTTTTGGTAGGGATTCCAACTTTTTTTGGGGTGGGTTCCAACTTTTTTGATTAAGAGTTCTAACTTTTTTGGGTAAGGGTTCCAATATTTTTGGGTAAAGGTTCCAACTGTTAAGGGTAGAGTTCCAACTTTTTGGGTTGAGGTTCCAACTCTTGTGGGAGAGTTCCAACTTGTCCAAGGTTCCAACTCTATAGGTGGGTTCTAACAGTTGGGGAGGGTTCCAATATTTTTGGGTAGGACTTCCAACTTTTTTGATTAAGAGTTCCAACTTTTTTGGGTAGGGGTTCTAATTTTTTTGGGTAGAGGTTCCAACTGTTGGGGGGTAGGGTTCCAATTTTTTTGTTGAGATTCCAACTCTTGCGGGAGAGTTTCAACTTGTCCAAGGTTCCAACTCTATATGTTGGTTCTAATAGTTGGGGGAGGATTTCAATATTTTTGGGTAGGGGTTCCAATTTTTTTAGGTAGATATTCCAACTCTTGGGGTAGGGGTTCCAACTTTTTTGGGGTGGTTCCAACTTTTCTGGTTTGGGTTTCAACTTTTCTGGGATGATTTTCAACTTTTTTGATTAGGGGTTCCAACTTTTTTGGATAGGATTCTAACTTTTTTGGTTAGGAGTTCAACTTTTTTAAGTAGGTGTTCTAACTTTTTGGGTAGAGGTTGGAACTCTTGTGGGGGGAGGATTCCAACTTTTTTGGAGGTTCCAACTCTTGGTGGTTCTAACAGTTGGTGGGTTCTAACAGTTAGGGGGAGGGTTCAACTTTTTTGGGTAGGGTTCTAACTTTTTTGGATAGAGGTTTCAACTCTTGGGGTATATGTTCCAACTTTTTTGGATAGGGTTCTAACTTTTTTGGTTAGGGGTTCAACTTTTTTAGGTAGGTGTTCTAACTTTTTAGTAGAAGTTCCAACTCTTTTGGGGGGAGGGTTTCAACTTTTTTAGAGGTTCTAACTTATTTGGGTAGGGGTTACAACTTTTTCGGTTGGTGTTCTAACTTTTTTTGGTACGGGTTCCAACTCTTGAAGAGGGTTCCAACTTTTTTTGTGTAGGAGTTTCAACTTTTTTTGGGGTGAGTTCTAACTTTTTTGGGTAGGGGTTCAACTTTTTTGGAGTGAGTTTCAACCTTTTTAATAGGGTTCCAACTCTTGGGGAAGAGTTCCAACTTTTTTGTGGGTAGGGTTCAAACTTTTTGGGTTTAACGGTTGGAGGAGGGTTTAACTTTTTTGGGCAGTGACAGTCTTTAGGCGGGAAAGTGGGTGGAGGGAGAGATAAAGTTTTTGTGATTAATATATTGTAATATCTGGGATGTAAGTGTAATTTACAATGTGAATCATTTAGGATCGGTCCAAGAAATGGGAGATCGGTCCTGGGTACATATCACCCTTTTATCTCTTAAATAATAAAATAAATTCCCAAAAATATTCAATTTTTTATAAATAGTCCCAACTTTTATTAACAAAAAATTAAATAATGAATAAAATCAAAAAATTAAAAGAATAGTAAATAATGCTTCCAATTGAGTCAAGTTATAATACTTTTGGATTGGATTCCAATTTTTTGGGTGACTCCAATTCGCTACATCAAAAAAATCTTACTGTCCAAAAATATTCAATATTTTTTAAATAACAAAAAATAAATAATAAATAAAATCAAATAAATAAAAGAATTGTAAATAATGCTTTGGTGTGGTTATAACTGGTTATAACTTTTTTTGAATTGAGTTTCTAATTTTTTGGGTGAGTCGGATTAGTTAGATCAAAAAAAAGTCCTAAAATATTTAGCATTTTATAAATAGTTTATTTTTTTTATTAACAATAAATAAATAATGAATAAAATCAAACTATTCAAATAATTGAAAATAATGCTTCTAACTATTTGGGTCATGCTTCATTTTTGGAGGTTACAACTCTTAAGGGAAGGTTCCAACTTTTTTGATTAAGAGTTCCAACTTTTTTGGTAGAGTTCCAACTCTTTTGAATAGAGGTTCCAACTTTTTTGGTTGAGATTCCAACTCTTGTGGGACAGTTCCGACTTTTTTGATTAAGAGTTCCAATTTTTTTGGGTAGCGGTTCTAACTTATTTAAATAGATGTTCTAACTCTTGGGGTATGGTTTCCAACTTTTTTAGATGGGGTTCTAACTTTTTTGGTTAGGAATTCAACTTTTTTATGCAGGTGTTCTAACTTTTTGGTAGAGGTTCCAACTCTTGTGGGGGGAAGGTTCCAACTTTTTAGAGGTTCCAACTATTGGTGGGTTCTAACAGTTTGGGGGAGGGTTTCGACTTATTTGAGTAGGAGTTTCAACTTTTTTGGGTAGGGGTTACAACTTTTTGGGTTGGTGTTCTAACTTTTTTGAGTACAGATTTCAATATTTTGGGTAGATGTTCCAACTCTTGAGGGGTTCAAACTTTTGTTAGGTAGGAGTTCTAACTTTTTTTCGAGGTGGGTTCTAACTTTTTTGGGTAGGGTTCCAACATTTTTTGTAAGGATTTAACTTTTTTGGAGTGGGTTTCAATTTTTTTGTGGCAGGGGTTCCAACTCTTGGGAAGGTTCCTGGGAGGATTCCAACTTTTTGGGTTTAACGGTTGGAGGAGAGAGTTTAACTTTTTTGGGCAGTAGTTCCATATTTTTTGAGTGAGGTTATTTGTCAAGTCCTACTCTTTTTCATTCCCGGTTTAACAGGTAACCGATATCAACTTTTTTAAATTGATCGACGGCTATAAAAACAGAAAAATTACATCAATGGCCCAGATAAAATGGTGATACCATACCGAAAAGTAAAAATCGGTATTATAGTCTAACCCAAATTCTCAACTTCACTGTCCTTTATCAAGAACATAACATAAATGACGATCCAGATTGGTCCACATTGATACATTCATCATGGTCTAAATTTAATATGTGATGCACATAACTACCGGCCAGTCATTTTGAATCTTAAGTATATGGTCGATAGCTATGTGCATCACATATTAAATTTAAATGTGATACATTCATCATTTATTATATGTTTGTAGTGATCTTCAAAATCTTCAACCTTAAACCAATTGTCCTTTTATTTTATCAACCATCTTCATACACCTTGGTTGGGGTTCACATGCAAAAACTATTGAGTGATTTATGTGTTATTATACTTATTGTGATTCAATAATTGAACAAGTAATACAATAAATAATAACTAACAAGTCTATTGTGATGATTTTCTAATTTCATCGAAAATATTTATGGTTCGGTTCAATGTTATTAGAACCGAACTAGACATCAAATCGGCAGAGAGACTAAGTAAATGATTTATTGATTCACCCGTTAGATCAACTGGTTGGATCGATCGTATAATAAAAAAATATAAAGTATAATAATTTAACCAAAAAAATAATATGTTCATAAAATTCAAAGAATAAAGAATATAAACGTGTGAGAGAGAAAGAGAGTGAGAAAGTAGTAAGGACAATCAATATCAGCCAGTGGAATAGAGAAGAGAAATCTTTTATTTCAAGAATGTGAAATGACCATTTGTCTTGCTCACATTTCACACACACACACACACGACTTAACAAAGAGAGATGGAAGATGTCATCGTAGTCTGAAAAACATTTTAAAGCATTCCCAGTGTTTAATTAAGCATCAATCTAAAAAAAGGGAAGACCTAAAATTTATTTTGAGTAATACCATTAAAATTTTAAAAAATGACTTAATTTACTGACATAATAATATATGTCAAGGACAAAGTTCAATGAAAAAATTTAACAGTTTGAGTCGCAATAACATATCCACACATGATTATGATTTAGGTCTTAATAACAACACTCATTTATTTTTCCCATGCATATTTTCTTGTTAGTCTCACAAAAAAGGCTAGTGAATATCACAGCAGCATTTTATTGCAATACCATTGGAAGGGAACAACCTTCCTTATTATTACAATACATACATACTTAAAATAATTTGCATGCTGCATAGGTTATTAGTACTGGTAGCTAATCTTTGATTTCAAGAGTTCGAACTTTCTAAACCTGATCAGGTATGGTGTATCGCTTAGAACGAAGCGACCCTCGGAATCACGGCCAACATCTTTACAAATGGCGTTGCAGTAATGATTGTTACAGACACTTGGACAGAAAACGAGCTTGTAGTAATCTCCAAGTTTTTCAATCTTAAACCAATTGGTTATGGTTTCACAATCAGGGTTTCCCTCTACTCCACCAACTCTCACAAAATATTCTTCAGACTCTTCATCGTACTGAACATTCCACACACCAGACTGAGCACATGGTGGTACCCAAACGAATTTGATGTTGAGATCAGTGGATTCACGGACCACGCCATCGTCGGAGTTCACAGGCGAAATCCTTGCTGGGATGCCACCGACTAATTGTATACGTGGGCCCACATCAAGTGGGCATGTTTCGTTTCCACCACTGACTAGTGTGACTACCCTTCTAGGGCGAAACAAAGGGTCTTCTATATAGTAGTAATCGGTTACTTGCATTGGTTCACCACTTAAGTCAAGTACTGCATCAGAAGCAGCTGCACCACCAAGCAAAGCATTTGTTATAATGGCAAAGGCCAGAAGAAATGAAAGCAGCAGTTCACAACAATTAGTCTTCATTGTGAGCTACTCTTATGTATGTTTGATCAGGTGCACCGTTAAAAGGCAAAAGAGGTGGTATTTATAGAGCTGAACACGTAATGTTGCTATTGTACCGTTGTCGTTGGATTGCCAATGGATCCAAAGTATTCACATTATTCACAAAACCCACCAAATAAAAATAAAAAAAGAAAAGGTTTTCGATGTGTTAAATACTTTTGGTTGAATAGTTTACATATAGTACATAAAAAGTCCCTTCCTTCGGTTGAATAGACATAAAAGTTAACATAACATGAAATTTTGAATATTTACAATCTCCACTCTACAATTTTTAGTGCATTCAAACGCTTCAATTTGGTTTATAAAGAATTTAGTTTGAGTTATGTGGTCCCTATGTTTTATTTTTTGTAAGGAATTTAAATAAGTTATTTTAAATATCACATTTTTTTTTCTTTTTAAGAGCAATGCTATTTGAATCTAACCTAATTACATGACTTAATTATAACCGTTAAATTACCATCAAATTTCAATATTTAATGAGACTCACTGATAATCATATCTTCTATCTAGAGAACTTTTACTTAGACTCAATGTTTGGTATTGATGAAAAAAATAAAAGGACAGAAATAATATACATACATAATTTACTATTTTAGCCTTATATGAGATTAGTGTATATATTATATATCATATCACTATGATATATGTATCATGTGTTTTAACAAACACAAATCACATAATAATACATCTATTTCACCGATAGGTATATAAGTTTCGGATTGGGTGTTTAATGGAAATAAATAATTAGTTAAAGGTTAAAAAAATAAATAACCACTTACCATTTTTTTTTTATCGTACCAAAGAGATAGACACAAGGTCAATTGCCAGATAAAGTGATGATGTTGTAATTTATTATTTGCTTGTCATGTTGACACGTGGAAAGTAGATAAAGAATAGGGCACGTTTTTTTTTTTTCTGAACAGGACAAGTTTAACTTATCTTGTTGATTATCTTCGCATTGGTCACATCTCTGTCAGATTTTGAATGATATAATAAAGTTATCATATTATTGTCTAAAGAAATTTTACAATCTAAAATAAATTATTAATTTAAAATAATTTTTAATTCATTTAATTTAATATAAAAAATTGAAATCAAATTAGTCCTTACTATTTTTCAAAAATTTTGGCATAATTTTCTTTAAAAATAAGAGTTCAAAAAAATCTAAATCTTTCGACATAATTTACAATCATATATAATAATTATCATTATACACTGTACCACCACAATTCTATTCTACTTTTCTCAAAATTAGCAGTTCATACCAACGACCAAAATAATCATCAATTCACATAAAATCTAACATATCTTAATAATCATGCGTAATTAGTTCATCGTACTACATACAGAACAAATAAAACGCATACAAACTACACACAATATCACTAAAAATTATAACATTCAAAAATTAACAAATTCGTATTTTCACAATTAATAAAAGATAAAATTGAATTTTTGGAGAAAATAATTGGGAAATATATATGATAGCTATGAAATGGGTAAATTAAAAGTAATTGGTTACACCTAATGTGTGTGTGCATTAAATGTGTGGGTGCGTGTGTGTTGTGTATCTAGGTGTGTGTTTGTGTTGTGCATGTGTGTGGGATTTTTTGTGTTTGTAGGAGTTGGAACCACCGCCGACGCTGTTGTAAGGTCAGCAAAGCCCAGGCTTTAGGCCCTAATTTTTAATTACATCCCATAATTTATTATTATGACCACTAATTCAAAATAAAAATTCAATTTTATAAAAATTAAAGCCCAACAAAAAAGTTAAAAATTAGATTTAAATTAGATAGTTTGGGCTTATTTCTTTCGTCCATGTACCAAAAAAATTATTAAAAAAAAATATATCTATAAAAGTGATGTACAGTTGTTAGAGAGATCCATATAATAAAGTAGAACGAAATTTGAATCCAAAAAACAAAGAGAGGTCCAGATTGTTTTGAGACAAAACATAAACACATGCAACGGATAATGTAATCTCAACATAAAAAACGGTTCAAATCATCTCAAAATTTATGATCTAACGGTCAACAATAAATATTAAATTTTTCTTTTGCGCCCAACAGAGACCTTTGTCTCTCGCCTCTCCCTCTCACTTCTGCCTCTCCTCCCTTTCTCACGCGCCTCTCTCTCTCTCCCACTCCGAAGAATCATGTTTCTCCTTCCCAAAACTACATCCTATTCTATCTTTCTCCCTCTCTCACCGATCTTTATCTCTCTGGTGATCCTCTTTCCATACCAATACGTAAAATTGGCATTCAATCCTATCTTAAGAATTCAAAATATCACCTTCTTGTACCAGTGATTCTCAAATCTTTAATTAAATCCCTAATGTCTGCAAATCTTCTCTCCCTCACTTAGTGTCAAATTGATTAATTCCAGCTGCTGCTCATAACGCACAGACTCTTTGCTAGAATTCTCCATTGCCCCGACTGATTTCAGGTACACGTTAAAACTCTCTGCTTCTCTTTTCCTCTCTGTCTCTACTTCTCTATCTCCACAACTCATCTCTTTTTCTGATTGCAAAACATTCATCACTTATTCAAGCATTCGTATGGTACAGTTGTTGTGATTAGTTGTTCATGTAATTTTACATACTCCACACCAAGTTTTTGTTGAAATGTCTGAGAGAAATATAGTATACTTTACCATTGATTTTTTGTTTGATTGATATGAATTCTTTTTTTTTTCTAGTTACAGTTTCTTGAATTTAAGGCACAATGCTTAATATCCAAAAGCATTTTATGTTGGCGCAGCAATGAATTTTGTTATTTTCTTTTCACTTTATTTTGGTCAGTAGTTGCCTTAACGATTTTGTTCTTATTTTGAAGGTTTCTGAAGGGAGCTTCAAGCATTGATCAACATTTCTATTCGACACCATTTGAGAAAAACATACCTGTATGTCCAAATGGCATGATCATTTCTCGGCTCTGTTATTTTTAATAACTTTTTTTCTAGATACCCTAGATGTTAGTTAGATATTTGGATGACTTATTTTACTGTTTATTGGCATTGCTTCAGGTGCTTCTAGGTTTGTTGATCATATGGAATGTTTCGTTTCTTGGTTACCTTGCAAGAGTGAGTAAGATGCTACATTTAATTTCCGTCGTTTGACGATTTTCTGATAATGTCTTCTTACTTCACACCCCATGACCTTAAAGCTTCAAATTCTTGCAGGCCTTTTTGCCTTACTCTCAAGCCCTGAAAAAAGTTTGCCCCACATATTCAACAGGTTTGCTTAACATAGCTTTCAGCTTGAATATTATTTTGGAATCTTTAGCATAATACCCTTAAGGCCTTCCAAATTTAACCCAATTTAGGTTAGCATGGAGAGTAATGGGAAAGGAGTATCGATTGACGGTCTGCCTCTTCCCTATGAGGCCAGTGAGATTGATTTTGGTGAACCAGGAACAAATGGTTAGCATAGCTTTTACCGATTGATTCACCAAGTAACACATAAATACATAGAATATGTTAATTTAGCTCGAATGTGAAACGCTTTCTTAAATTCCTTACTCCCATATTGATTAATTGTGAGTATGTGCTCCTGTCATTTCATTCCTTGCGTGGTTAATTTGTTGACGTTCTGTATGAAATAGATTTTTATTTTATTTTATGGATGGAGAACTCAAGCTTATTCTTTCTCATCATAGGTTCCAAACGTCTCAGTTAACTGTTTTCTCTTTGCTAAATATTTTATCACATAAGAATTATTTCTATTTATTGATTCTAGAGCTTAAACTAACAATAGAGAATTATATTGGTTTGTCACATAAGTAGGATATTTATCTATATTTTTTTAAACTTGCTTAAACTATGTGATATTTTCTCTTTCTATGAAATTGTGTTACCTATTTTGCGTTAAGTAGTTTCAGTGGATTAGAGGCTTAGATGACTCCTTGAATAATGAATGATGACCTCTAGATGCCTATTTGTGGGTTAGATGCTTAGCTACCTATTTGTTGAGTTCTCATAACTCTCCATGGTTTGTTGTTATCTTGCTTTGATTTTAATCTATTGTGTTGAATTTTGTAAAAAACGTACAATTCGTAGGAAGAAACAATTTGATAAGAGTGTTGATGACGAAGTACCAAAATCCGTTGAAGAATCGTTTAGAACTGATTATTTTATATACATAGTAGATCAAACTATTTCTTTGTTAAAGAGTAGATTTGAACAATTTCAAATATATGAAAATATATTTGGTTTCTTATTTAATTTTAAAAAAATTAAAATTATTAGGAAATGATAGTTTAAAAAAATATTATCTTAATCTTGAGTTTTTTGTATAGTTTTTCTGATATTGATGGTTTAGATTTGTTTTTAGAACTAAATGTTCTAAAGGAAATTTTACCTGCGGAAGAAATTACTTCAATTGAAATATTAAGTTATATAGAATAATTAGATTCTTTTTCGAATACATGCATAACTTATAGAATATTATTGATAATTTTTGTAACCGTTGCTTCTGCATAAAAAAAATTTCAAAATTAAAATTGATAAATCTCATCTAAAGTCAACGATGTCACAAAAAATGTTAAATGAGTTAGCAATACTATCAATCGAAAAAGATATGACCGCAAAACTTGAAATAAAACTTTAATTAGTACTTTTGCATCTCAAAAAGCAAGAAGAATAAATTTTAAATAAAATATTATTTTTAAAAATAAAAGGCCTTTTTTTAGTTGCCACTTTAGGCTCCAAAATGGTAAGGGTCACCCCCTGGGTGGAACACGAAGAAGAGAACAGAATAGAGAGAGAGAGAGAGAGAGAGAGAGAGATACCTTATAGAGGTTTGTTGTCATGCGAGGTGCTTATGGTTTACTTTGATGGGCTGAGGCGGTGGTGGCTGGGCAGCGACGTGAGAGATATGGGATACATTCATTTTACTCTATAAGAATCGTGTTAGTTGATTAAAAATATTGACATTAGACAAAATAAATTAACAGGCAAGTGAC